GAATGGTATACAAAGTATAAAGCTACAAATACACTTACTGTTACATGCCTCCATATGTATTTTTCTTCCTATTTTCTTTTATTCCATTAGGAACTTCCTAACCGAATGGGTTCCTTGAATCTCCCAAAGCATAAGCAGCTCACCTGTAATTTTGCTATGCTTATTATGGCCATGATAAGAAACAAACTTGAGGGAGGGGATTTAGCTCATTGGTGTAAGTGCCTGCCTAGCAAGCATAAGGTAATGAGGTCTGTTCCAGTACGGCAGGGGCGGCGGAAACAAATTTGAAAGACAAACCATGATTATGAATGCCAATTCTTAAGGTCTGTCAGACCGCCAATGAAATCTCTGAAACAAGTCAATTCATGTAAATATTCACAATAATATCTTTAGTTATCAATGATTATTTAATTTTCTGTATTAATTGGGGAAATGCGGTTGTAGGATGAGTATTAGATAAGATGAAAATACTTATGAAAAGGTTTTAAAGAGCAAATGGATGGGCCGAGACTGCAGCTCAGAGGCAGAGTAATTATTTAACATGCACTGGGTTGGATCCCAGCACTGCAAAAATATAAGATAAAAGGAGCAAATGGTAACAACATGCATGGGCTTACTCTAAGTACAGAAATAGATATACACACATCTGGAAGGGATGGGCAAGCACAACAGCTGGCAGGAATCATTACTGAGTAATAAAATTATTTCTAATTATTTTTTATTGTGATTTCTCACTGTCTATAACACACATATACATGTGTATGTATATAATATTGTTTTTTCAGCTTGAAAAATTGTTTTCCTCTGTCCTGAAAATGTGTCCCTATGCATTTCCTGATTCAAGCAAGATACTATATTCAGAGCAAAACATCAGAAACTCACTAGAAAGTTAGAAATGTATAAATAGCCTCTTTCTGTGAAGGAGTACAAATTTAAAAAGAAAATCTCATGGGAAAGTTGCTTTTGAAGATTTCATGTTCAAAGTCAAAAGCTTAATCATGTTGCTTAAAACTGACAAGTACTAAAACCAAAACGATACTCAGATCATTTTTTTTCCATCATTAATCAATTTCCCTATGAAACTTTTTGTCTCCCCACTCCCCAATGCTATTCTCCCCAACAATCTACTTAAAATATTCCTTTTACAACATAAAAAACCAGTAAGAGGTGATTGAAAAATACAATGAATTTTTCAACTTGTTATAGTAAAACACACACTGCCATTAACCCCCTCCAAAATATTCCACCTTGCTTCAAATACACTTAGCTCATCATTCTTGCCACTTTCTAAAGCATTTCTGAAAGTCTGTTTACAAAGTGTGATTAAAAATATGCTGAACACTGAGGCCACATGCCAGCCAATGGAGAAGCAGGCTCTAGACAGGCATTAGTGTCATGGTCAGCCTTATACACCAGATCTCCCACTGCAACTTCTGGCTCCTCCCCAAAGTCACAATCACCAGGAAAGGCAAACCTTTTGAATGGATTCAGTACATCAAGGTAGTCACAACAGCACAGCTAAACACACTCACTAAAGAGGACTTCCAGGATGGCTTCAGAAAGAGGCACAAATAATGGGGTAAGTGTGTTATGAGTCAGGGACACTGTTGGGGGGGGGTGGATAATGGTAAAGTGTTTTTTTACTGTAGTAATTTTATTTAAACATTTTTCAATCATACCTCATATTTAAAATGTGTTTTATACTTTGGTAGCCCTCAAATAATCATGTTATAGTTAAGCATGAAAGCAAACTATTCATTGACTACTTCAGCTCTAATGGTTTGGTTCCAAAGCAGCTGTTATTTACCTGTGCAATGGTCCCAAATTAAAAGAATTCTCTGAATCAGCTTTGGGCTCCATGCTGTTAGTCCTTATGTTTAACAGATAGCTCATTACAGCTCCCAAAAAACCAACTGTGGACTAAGCAGTAAATAATCATTCCAAAGCATAATTACATGCTGTACTTATATTACAGCCAGATATACAATGATCAGGAAAATAAGAGTGATAAGTCTGAAACCAAACAAAATGATTCCACGAAATAAAAAGAATTCTTACCTCACCTTGCAGGCAATATACACATGTGTAGAGAACTTTTTTCTTAACCCCTGAAGAAAGACTTGTGAATAATTATATATCTCTTCCACTGTCAAAATCAAAACTCTGCACCTAGAAAAAAGTAAAACCTAATGCTATAGTGTGCTAATCCTATACACCCTCCTGATGAAAGAGTGCTGTATTTTGAAGAACTTTTCATCAGATTTTAAAAGCAGACCACAGAAAGCCTATGTGTGTTTTCCAGAGTGGTCAGGGGTAAGGATTTGGGAAAAGGATAGGACTGGTTTAAGATGATCTAAATAGATAGAAAAATGTATCATACTTAAGGATTTAAAGATATATCATGTAAGATAAGCAATATCCTTATAGTGAGCTCTACTCCATAGGACACCAGTAAAAATTTTTTAACAGGCTGTTGTTTTTTTTTTTTCTGGTAGAAATTAACAACCTAATTCTAAAGTTATATGGGAATATAAAGGATCTAGAATAACCAAAGGCATTATAAAAAATAAGGAAAAGGGGAAAGAGAAGAACTAAATTTGTAGAAACTGATTTCAATACAATATAGAAATCAAGACAGTCTGGTTAAAAAAAAAAAAAAACAGGCAGTTTGGTATTGGCGGAAACACATAAACATCTAGGTAAACATAATAGGACACAGAATAAGACCATTGGGGCTGGGGAACGAGCTCAGTGATGTAAGCGCCTGCCTGGCAAGCGCAAGGTCATGAGTTCAATCCCCAGTACAAAAAAAAAAAAAAGACCATTATACAGAGTACATTGACTTTTCTAACAAAGATGGCAACGTAGAGGGGAAAGTCATTTCAATAAACAGTCCTATCCAACTGGCTGTTTGGGTAAATTGGACCTCTGCCTTCATCTCACTTCATACACAACAATTAACTCAAAATAGGTGACTGACATATATGCAACCTAAAAGCCACAATATTTATAGGATAGGATGGAATGTTTGCATCATCAGACTGGTGAAAGGTTTCCTAGATCAAAATCACAGACAACAAAAGGAAAAACAGAAAATCAGGACATGAACAAATTTAAAATGTTTCTCTTCATAATGTACTGTTAAGAAATTAAAATGCAAACCACAGAGTGGGAAAAATATTCATAATATATCAAAAGACTTTTATAGAAAATTTACAAAGAATTTTTACAGTTTAACAAGAAGCCGAATGACCCAATTTTTTAAATGGGCAAAGTATCTTAATAGACATTTCCAACTAAGAAGATACACAGATGGCCAATAAGTACATGAAAAAATCCTCCATGTCTTTAGTCCTCCAGGAAATACCACTATACAGTCATCAGACTGGCTTATGTTTAAAGAACTGAGCATGTTGAGTTCTGACAGCTGAACTTTCATATACTGCTGGTGGCATTGTAAAGTGGTACAATCAGTTGGGAACACTTTTGTAGTTTCTAAAAAACTTAAACATACAACTATGATAAGACCTAGACATCCAGTCCTAAGTATTTACCAGTTTAACCAAAAGAGCACTCATTCAGTAACTGTGGGGCAACCTGATATATTTCTCCATGTGAAATCCAAGCATACATCCCTAGTGAAATCTTGCCAGGAATGCTAACCTCAGTACAGTCAAGCCTCACACTGCTTATAGGAAATGAAGGGGCTAAAAGATGTTAAATTACAATATAAAGAATCAAAGCCAAAAAGTGGTCCCTTATCAGGCAACATTTTCAACTGAAAGAAAGCCAGTGCCTTTTTTTTTTCCAATGTAGGAGGAATATTTTAGACTACAAAGACTAGAAACTCACAACCTAACGAACTGCAGTGACTTAACATTCACTCAATACTGATTGAGGCTAGAAGAAGATGGGAAGCTATTTAGCAATGCTTAAAACTACTGGGCAACATATTGATGTTTTTGGTTGGATCATTGAACACAACTGTTTGCAGTCTCACTGTTTGAATGTCCACTTTGTATGCTTTGATACTGTGACTTGAGCAACTGTTTCTAGGATGATAATTGTAATCTATTAAATGGTGATTTCTTACTGTTTTCTTTTTGTTTTTTTTTTCTTGTTTTTTTTTTTTTTTTTTGTAGTTCTGTATTAATTGTACCCTTACACTGTTTTGTTTTGTTTTGTTTTTCTCTTTTTCCTTTTAAATTTAAAAAAAAAAAAAAAACTACTGGGCAAAGTCACACACATCTATAACCCCACTATCCAGGAGGCTCAGATAGGAGAACTGTTTGAGAACAGCCTGGGTAAATTAGTAAGATCCTATCTCAAAATTTTTAAAAAGAGTTAGACTAAAATTTAATGGTAGAATGTTTGCCTAGCATGTGAAAGGCCCTGGGTTCAATTAACAACAACAAAAGTTCTTGTTAATGGAAAACTTGGATATAAATATTTGGGACTCTGAATTACTAATTTTCCTTAGGTGTGATCAGAATATTGTGGTTTTATAGAACCTTCTTACTCTTGGAAAATAGAAGTATAACATTATGTTTGACATTTAAATTAAGGTAGAAGTCTATGGTAGGGAGAGAACTACATCTTTCTTTGACCTACAAAAACAGTAGTATGGTTTAGCCTAATACAAAGTTACAGCAAAATGTTAATAACTGTTGAATCTAAGCAGTGGCTATATAAGTATTTATTGTACCATCATTTCAACAAATTCATGTTTTTACATTTCATAAAAGACAAGATTTTTCTTAGAAATGCTTTCCTTAAAAGACAGCTATAAAATTCATCTTAAATTTTAATGTAACTTACCATTCTAAATAAGTGGCTTGCTTTTCCAACCTAATTTACTCACTATCCATTCCAAGACCACCAAAACTTGTCTTAATAATTGCAAATAATATTCTAACACTGGCTCTAACATAAATCTCACAATACCAAAAATCAGCACAAGATGCAAACATCTGGTTTTATACCCAAATAACAAACTGAACAGCAGTAAAACAAACTGTTTATTATGGTATATGTGTTATATTAAATTTACATAATGATATATGTAAAAACACATACCACTTATATCATACAGTAATTTAACAACAGGAATATCAAAACAAATATTCATGCACAAAACATGCATATATTGATATAAAAAGAGCAATTTTATACAACACTGATTGCCAAAAGAAAATTTTTTAAAGCCCTTCCAGATAAGGTCAGTGGTCCAATCTGGACTGGATTGCACTACTGTTCAGGCCAATGCTTAGGTTGCACAGTGCTCAGCAAGCAATTCTGGGCCTGGAATCATGCCCAAAAGTTATTTCGTGTACAGTGAATTTCTCTGTACCAGAGTACCAAAATTTTATCCCAAAGGCAAGTCCTCCAAGGGACAAATTACTGTATTTGCTACAAATTAAGAGAGGAAAAAAAGGCATCAAAAATACTGGATATATGGCCCAAGAAAAGGCTACAGTAACCAGAGCCCAGGCACCAACTGTGGCAAAAGGTTCTCTGAGTCCTTTGAAGGTACTACTACCAGTGTCCCTATCCAGATTGCCATCTCTGGATTTAGGATGCAGTCTACAAGCTCTGAGTTCATTAAACAGAACAGTTCCCAGAAGAAAACAGATTGAGGAAGACAGGAGAAATGCAGACCATAGTATAAAAAGGCATAGAAAACAACTGCCTCGCAGGCCCACTTCCCACAACTGTATGCAACGCTCCTCCACAGTAAGTCCTTGCAGAGGCACTGTCTGCCCTGAAGAATCAAGGGACAAACGTCCTAAAAATTCCATCTGACCTTGGGAGCTAAATATCTGAATTCCATTAAAATTTAAATGTCAAAACCTGTACCTTTCTAGATGCTCCAAAAATTTAAAATAAAAATCAGCTGAGCGCACACAATTCATTCACTAGCACCATTACAATCTCAGTATTTACTTCTAACTATCTATACATCCTTTACTTTCCATTAAAGGCACTAGGGTCTATACACAGGAGACATAATTTACCTTGGTTTTACCTTAATAAAAGTATTTCATTAAAGTGTTACACAAAAACTAAGACACCACTTTCTTTTTCCTTTTGTCAGAAACTAAGGGGAAAGATACTCTGCACACCAATGATACTCAAACCGTTGTCATCAGCTTTAAAGAGCCAGACCGAAAGCGGAGGATTTTCTTCTTAAGCGTATGCGAGGCCTTAATTTTCACAAAGGTTCTCGGGTTCTGCGTTGCCACCGTCTGAATTGGGAGCGTCTGGACGAACTGGGACCAAATTAGGCCCCCGCTCTCTTCTGAGTCGCTGGTGGTGGTGCTCTCACCCACGAACTCGCCCTCGCTCACACTGGACTCGCTGTCACCGAAGCAGTTCGTAGTGTAGTTGCTCTGTTCATCCTCGCTGGTGTCCACCACAGTGGAGTGGAAGAGGGACTCGCACTCAGCAGAGTACTCCGAGTCGCTGGCGGCGTAGGCGTAGGGACTGGCATGGGGCAGAGGCATGGGTACAGGGTACACGCCCACGTGCTCAAGGCGACCCCTACGGGCCCTCCGCAGGGCCTCCTCGTAGGAGATCTCCGCTGAAGACTTCCACCGCCGGTAATCAGTTCGTTTGTGCTTCAGTTTGGCCACCACCGCCTCCCGTCCGTGGCCGTGTGCCTTGTTTCCTGCCCTATGGCTGCCAGCGCTCGGGGGCCTGCCGTGGAGACCCTCAGGGCCCCCACCTCCACCCTTCCGGACCTTATAAGTGGCTCTCTTGAGTTTCTTATTTGTATCCAAGTCATCGGGGAAGCGACATTTCTTGCTAGCCACCCGAGTTTTCTCCCTGACCGTGGGCAGGCCACTCTCCAGCCCCTGGCCACGATGCTTCAGAGTGGAGCTTCGCGTGCCACCCGGGTTCCGGTGGCCTCGGTGGAGCCTGGCTCCTGGCTGCGGCCCCGGGATGAACTGTGCCTTGACCAGGTGTCCTTCCTCGAGGCTTTGCGAGGAAGAGCCCTCGCTTTTGAAGTCTAAGGCTGGCCTCTCGTCTACCGTGAAGGCTGCAGGCAACAGTGGGGGAGGTGCGGGAGCCTGAGAAGGCTGCAGGCTGCTTTTCTGAGCCACCTTTTTCAGGGTTTGCACACCTTTGTGCTCTTGCAGGAGCCCAGGGCCACGGTCTAGGCTCTCTTTTGGAGTAGCACCTGAAATCTGACAACTTTCTTTAAAGGACTCACCTGCGCCAGTGGTGGCAGAACACCAAGCCTGTTCCTGGGAGGCTGCCTTGACATTTTGGGGGAGATGCTTGCTTGGGAGCTCCAAGGCTGCACCTGCTAACCAGCCCTCAGACACTAGCAGTCTCTTGCCTTCCAATTCCGCCTTGGTTTCCTTTGACTGCTGCTTCACAGGGGAGAAGGTTGCACTGTCCAGAGAGGGCATTCCACCAGAAGGGAAACACACCAGCTTTGAATTCTTCAGGTTTATACTGCTGGCCTGGGAGCCACTGCTGCCAGCGGCCCGGACACACAGGCTCCCGTTCCTCAAAAGCCCTTTCGTGAGGTCCACATTCACACTGGTCCTGGGTTTGTTGGTCCTGACAAGATGTGTTTTTTTCTGGACCAGGCTCAGAATGTAGCCATCCATTTTCTTACTGGATGCAGGATAGGACACAGGCCACAGACTGCTTGGGGATGGTAAGGAACCATTTGTTTTGGTGGTGTCCAGTTCAGATCCACTGCAAAGGTCACTGGCCTGGTTTTCAAGCTGCTCCTCTTCCCTGAGAGAAGTGCCAGCCAGACAAAGGAGAAACATTGGGCTCTGCAAAGCCACAGCATGCAGTGGGCTGGGATAGCGATAGACATCATTCCCGTTTTTAGACACCAGATCACACTGATACTTCGGGTTCAGATCTGCAATAAGATCCAACAAAATAAATTATAGTGTGGAGGGAGAACAGCACATTACTCCTGAGCCCTGATCTTCACAGCAGCCTTTTTTATATTCCCTCATCCTGTGAGATTTGTAAAATATGCAGAGGTACACTCTGAAGAAATCAGTTAGCACCAGTTTAACTCTGGCCAGTTTTTATTAAAACAAATGCATGGTTAGACAGAGAATGCCAAAAGGAAAAAATGAGTCATTGTCTAGTCTACTCTTCCCTCTATGTTCTATTCTTGGCTTCTTTTTAAATGCTTTGGATAACATACATTCTGTGAACTTCATTTTTGATCCTGATTCCTAATGACATATGTTCAAATATAACTTATCAATTGAAAGCTCAGGGAAACATCAAATTTCAATACAACTATTAAAGTTTAAATAATTACAGTATATTTTCCATGATTACACTTTAAAAAGCCAAGTATTTTAATGTAAGATTTCTTAAGTTTTTAAAATTGAGTAGTATTAACGGATAAATTTCACATGTCAAAAAAATGTAGGTGTCAGGCTAAATGTGGTGCACACCTGAAATTCCAGCACTTGATACACTAAGGCAGGAAGATCATTGTGAGTTCAAGGCAACCTAGGCTACATAGCGAATTCAAGGCTAGTCTGAACTGCATAGTGAAACCCTGTCTCAAAAAGATAAAAACAGGCCAGGGGCATTCCTCTGTGGTACAAGTGCCTGCCTGGCAAAAACAAGGTACTGAATTCAATTCAAAAAAAAAAGAAACTTTCTTAAGTGATTTTGATCTCTTACCTTAGTGATATTATCAAATCCTTTTAATGACCTTCATTTACCAGAGAAAATAAAAATTGAGTTCATCACTAATTTATCCTCCATAATTGTTTATTCATGCAAAAATTCATACCCCTGTGTGCCAGGTTTTATGTCAGTTGTTTAAGGGAAACTGTCTTGAGCTCAGTAATTATCAGTCTTGGGCAAAAACACTGACCCCAAAGACGATTTTTAAAGAAAAGACTAAGAAAACCAAAATGCCATGTTCTACCTGTTCAAGCCCAAGCAACAGCTTGTTCCAAGACAAGGAAATCTCTCTAATATCCTAACACCCTGCCTCATCCCTACTCCCCAACCACGTAACTACTATCTTTGCCTCACATAGTCACCTTTGTCTACCAATCATTTATCCCTCTTCCATATTTAGAATTGAACAAAACAGACCAGATTCCAGGGCCCAGACCAACTGTTTCAATTATGTGAAGATGTGACCCTTGGGAGAACTAGGGCTCAAGAAAAACCTGTACCAAAGTGCTTTTAATGGGTTTATAAAATTTCCCTTTGAAACCAGATCTGCAGAGTGAAGGGGTACAATTATGAATGAACTTGAGGCCCAGACACCCTAGATAACAAAGTTCTATTTCTCCAAATGATCACCGCTGACAACACACATTATACAGATATAGACACCAACCAGCAACCTCAAATGTTCAGTGTTACATTGGCCTTGCCTGGATGAAAGCATTCAGCTTTATACCAAAGTGTAAACCACAGGTATACTGACTTGTGCCTACACTTACAAGAGCTCTAATCTCCATATTTTTCTGCTTTTCCAAGCAATCACGGTATGACAGGACTAATGAAGGAGTCCTGAGTTTCAGTGGTAAATACCATTAAGCAGTTAAGTTCTAACAAAGGTTTGTAAACCAAAATTCCTCCTCTATTATACAAGATGGTTGAATATAATTTCTGAATTTCCTAGTGGTAGCAGAAAAACATGGACCTTGCAGTACAACACAGGAGCTTAAATAAATCCTACTGCTACTCTGAAGCTACACAGCCCTAAATGACCTTGTTTAGCCTCAATTTTGACACATAAAATAGAGTTTACACATGTACCCTAAAGAACTACTGGAGGGACTCAGAGGAAGATAAATGTTTGGCGAGCACATAGTGCTGTATGCCACGTAGCAGAAACGTGGAAATTCTTTCACCAGTGGTATCTTTACTTCTCCCTGGAATACAGTGCTCAAATGGAGAATTATGGCATGAGGACTAGAAGGATCCCATCATGGTAGTGTATTCTGGTAAATATGGAGGGGCACTGATGGAAATATTTAACTTAATGGGTATAGTGGCTTTAAATGCTAAAAAAAGGGGGGGGACAGTTTGAGAATGATTTTCAAAAGAAAACTGAGGCAGTAGGATGTTGCTTAGTAGTGGGGATTACAGCTCAGTAGTAGAACATGTTCTTAGTGTACTTATTAGTACAAGACCCTACGAACCCCCAAAAATGTAAAGAAGCAAAACTAATAGCAAAGGCTCAAAAAGAGAGCTTAAGAATTATAATTGGGACACTATTTCCAAGGTTATAGTGTCTTGCTGCTATCAGAACATAAAGCCAAATGGCACCCAAAGACACTGGATTCATTACAGATATTCTTTTAGATCAAACTATGGGTTCTAGATGTAACCACAGCACCAACTGCAGTTCTGAAGAGCTTTATTTTCCATCAGTAAAAGGCACTAAAACTAGGTAAGGGCCCTTGACCCATCCCAATGAACATTTCTGTCAATGCTAAAAAATTCTTACCTGCAGCTTTGGGGCAACCATCTGAGATAGTCAAAGTTGCCTCCAGGGGGCTGCAAAAGCAGGTGCTGGAATGACAACTGGATAAGCACTCACTGAATACCGAGTTAGAGGAATTAGAAAGGGATCCTGAAGCCCCATCACTCAGTTCATAAAACCCTACAAATAAAGACAGCTAGAATTAAGATAATGTCAAGGAGTAATACACATTTACACTTGAAAGACAGGTAAACTTTCTAGGTAGATGATTTTGTTTTGGGTTTTTGGAGGCAAATTTTCTTTCACTAAATTTTACAGTCTTGATTTTATGGTTTTACATCAAAAACTCTTTATAAGAGTCAAAGCACATAACCATGAGTAACTTTAAAGTTACTCTCACCTTTAAATTTACCTTCTTCCAACCTTTAGGTTACGTGTAAGAAAGGAACTTAGACGTGAAAGAGCCTCATCTTTATCATGAATGTTTATAACTTTAAGACAAAGACAAATCTAAGGAGCCAAATGGTTTAAAAAAAAACCTTTTGCAATAGTCTCAGGAAGTTGAAGTGTGACTAATTTTCTAGCCCAGTTCTGACTTTCTCAAGTTTCAAAGGAGGTCTGCTCCTCCAGAAATCAAAAGAAACTTGTATTTCTTAAACCCAGGAGACTCCAGTCTAAAATATCTCACTATTACAAATTTTGTTGTCTGACCTTATTTCATGCAAATGAAGAGCAGACTGCTTTTTAAAATCCTCTCTGCATTACAAAGCCCACTGCCCTTTGCAGGTCTGGAAATGCCAACCACAGGGAGCCACCCATCAGCAGACTGGGCTCTCACCAGAGCTGGGCCGGCTGTCAGTCTCCAGGCGCTCTCCAGACGTCTTTTCTACATCCAGTCTCAGGTCACTGATCTGCTTGTCCAGTTCTTGCAACTGATTCAACAAACCAGCATCTCTTCTCCTCAAACAATTCTGATTAAGACAAACAGGGAAAGGAAAAATGAAGACATTTTGTGACAATCACCAAGTCTGTTCTAAATACTCAAATTACCTATCTAAAAAATAAAAATAAAAATAAATTTAAAAAATCAAATTACCCATCTAACAGTCACTGACCCTTCCAAAACCAAAATTTTACTACATAACCTGAAGGAAAGAAAAACTCTAAGGAGTCAGAGAATGTAGCTCAGCAGCACAAGCAACTGTCTGGCAAGGTCCTGAGTTTCATTCCCAGTTTTTAAAAAAAACTCCAAGAGGGGCTGGGGATTTAAGCTCAACACCTTAAGCACTTGCCTGGCACATTATGAGATTGTGAGTTTGATCCGCACTATCAGAAAGAAAAAAAAAAAGTTCCTTAAACAAATCATATGCTAGGCGGAGTGTGGTGGCTCATGCCTGTAATCCCCGAACTCAGGGAGGCTAAGGCAGGAGGATTGTTGTGAGTTCGAGATCAGCGTAGGCTACAACATGAGTTCAAGGCTGCCCGAGCTACGAGAGACCCTGTCTCAAAAAAAAAAAAAAAAAAATCATGCTAATGTTAAAAATTTTTTTTAAAACTTCATAATTATATATATTTTTTAAATTCCAAGAATTTCAAGATATAGCCTGTCTTGGGCTGGGGATATAGCTCAGTAGCACAGTGCCTGCCCCAGCAAGCACAAATTCCTGAGTTCAATTCCTGGTACACACACACACAAAAAGATATATCCTATCTTTAATTCTTTCTTTCATTCTGTGGTGATAGTGTCCTTATTTTTTAAAAACTACTTCTTTCAATTTTACCTAATGTATACAAACTGTGACTTTATAGATCACAGCAAATAAACTACAGAGACTTTAAATCATTCAGTGTGTGGCCAGCTTTAAAAAAAAAATACTTCTTAGTAGACTTTCAAATTTGATGTTAGCATAACAGATTTCCTACATACACTATAATCTTACTTAGGTGAGGTTTTCTGGCCAGATGTCTTGGCCTGCAGAGATTTGTGTTTTATTAGTTGCTTTGTGGGGTTTAATCAGTCTTAGGGCCTTTGAAAGTGAGACACCAATGCTAATAGCTGGTGCCAAGTACGATAATGTACGATAATGTAAACTGGCAGAATCCAAAACCCTCCAGGGAAAGCCCATCACGATTTGAACTCAGCTCGAGTTTCCAAAAGTTTCCAAAGCTGACGGACTGGTTGTGCTAAGTTACACCGCCACCTAGTGCTTCCTGCCGCTGCAAAGGCAAAAGAACTCGGCATCTGGTTCAAATCAGGGCCGCCAAGTCTGCAATTGAAAGTAATGCCATAAACACCGACTGGACAAGAATTCTCTCGACGCACTGTCCTGCTCCCCTCCCCTTCAAAGGACAGGAGGACTAAGCCATTCACATCTTGAGAATCACAAACACTGAAAGGTGGTATTGTACAAGATAATGCAAAAAAAAAAAAAAAAAAAAAAAAAAACGTGTAGGATCAGGCATAACCAGAAAGAACAGGCTCCAATCAGTGTTACATGCAAATCTGGCCTGTTACCAAAGAAACACTGTAAAACGCCAAGAAAGACCTACTGCACGAACCACACTTACATCCTTACAAACAGATGCACGAGTATCCACTCCTCTCGTCTGTCCTTCGGTTTAAAAGGCTGACGTAAACCATATGCTTGCTTGCTAACATTTGAGTTTCTCCAGAAAAAAATGAACCAAAGAAAAGGGACTTTAATGCTCTAAACAACTAATCATCTGGAAAGTAGTAACCCAAGAAACGCATGACAAATAGCACACGGCATCACTACTCTGCTCTCACAGGACCATCACCTAGCGTGTGTCTGTAGTTTCAGACAGCATCACAGTCAGATAAGGATCTCTTTGCTGTTCGCTAAGCTACATTTTGAGGTGACCAAAGTAGAGCGCTGCCGCCATTCTCAGGATGGCAAGACCCAAAGTCCTCGCGCCTTTTAACTAAGTCGGCCCAGAAGGAGGGAATCGCTGACTAGCCCAGCAAGACCACCGCTCCCAATAGGAGTGGTCTTCATGCCCACCTCCACGGCCCACGGCAGCCATCAGGACCACAGGGGTCAGCGGCCCGGGCGCTCCCCGCCTCACCACCCTCCCCACGGCCGCCCACAAAGGACTGGGTCCGCGCGCGGCGCCTCTCGGGCCCACGCCGGCGAGCAGGAGCGCCCACGCAAGGGCCCTCGCAAGCCGTGGGGTCAGAAGGTCACGGTCGCCACAAGCCCCCTCCTGGCTTTGTCCCCCTCAGGAGAAGGAGACGCCCTCGGAGAGCCCTGGAGATGGGCTGGCTCTCCACTGGGGGCCGCGGATCTCCGCCAGCAGGGCAGCGCTCGGAACGGAGGCCGCCAGAGTAGAGGCCGCGCGGGGCAGTGGCGCGCGGCTACCGGCCTGCACTCCGCCACACAAAGCGGGCGCTCGCGGTCGCGCGTGGGCGTCCGCCAGGCAGAGGGATGGCTCTCCAGCCGCGGGCGCGTCCCGACCCACCTGCGGGGCCCGCGGCAGGGACGGCGCTGCCCACGGCCGCGCGACCTACCAGCTGCTTCCGCAGCAGCAAGATGTTCTCCTCCAGGAACTTCTCCTCCAAGCGGCTCCGCGGCGGCGCCTCCCCCGGCAGCAGTTCCCCGGCGCGGGCTGCGGGGCCGCCGCGCAGGGCGCCCCGGACCAGCAGCTCCTGGCGCTGGCGCAGGAAGTCCAGCTCCGCCAGCCCGGCCAGCGTGGCCTCCTGCCGCTCGCGGGTGCGCTGCCGCTCCGTGTCCACCTCGCCTTTCTCGCCCCGCGCCGCGCCCGCCGCACTCGGCTTCATGACCCCGGCCGGCTGGAGCGGCCGGCAGCGCGGAAGAGCAAGGCGCAGGGGGCCCGGCCGGACCCCACCGCTGATAACGCCCAGCCGGCGCGACGTCACGCGCGGCCGCCCCCCGTGCGCCCCCGCCCTGCGCCCTGCCGAGCCGGCGCCGCCGCCCTGCCCCGCCCCCTGCGCCACCCCCGGCCCGACAGGGGGCGCGCCCCCCTCCCGGCCGGCCAGCGCCGCCCCAGCTCCCGGCCCTCGCGCTCCGCTCCACGCGCGCCCCTCCGCGGCCCCACCCGCGGCCCGGAGCTCGGCGCCCCTCGAGCCGCGCGGGGGGCGCCGAGACAGTTCCCGGGCGGCCCTTCTCACACCAACTCCATTTTGTAAAGGCGAGCCCACAAAGCACGGCGCGGTGTCGCCCTGAAACTTCAGGTTCTGTTGTCTGTTTCTTTTAAGGAGAGTCTTACTGTGGAAGTCGCCCGGGGGTTGGAGAGCGGGCGCCTGGCGCTTGGGGTTTTGTTTGTTTTTAATTGTTGTTATTTAGTCTAACTTCCTTAACCCTGCACCAAGACTGTCTGACTCGGAATCCCTGTTTCGCCCCCGAATAGCCGTCAGGACGAGTTACAGGACCAGCACCCATCCTTCCGCCTCCAAATGGACACGCCTGCTGCACGAACTGCTGTGATCCAAGGCGCAGGCCGCGTAGACGCGTACGCGCACAGATGCGGGAGGAGAAGCGCTGACCGCAGGGCCGGCACCCAGCAAGTGGACTCCAGGTTGCAGAACCCGAGAGGGACTTACAAAAATCTCTCTAAAGAATCATTGACGACAGGGTCACCCTGGCTTGGGACACCAGCCTCAGGGAATCTCAGTGGGTAGGGAGCTGGAAACACCATTAGCAGGCTTGTCTGTGGGGTGGTACCATGTCTAGTACCACCTCAAATTGAATCCAGCAAGTCTCGATTTCCTGAAGCCCAGGCAGAGTTGGATGAAAGCATGCATCTTACATCATTACTTCAGGTTCTTAAACCTTTGCCCAGCCTCTCGCCTCTGCTAGAGATTTTCTTTTTCCTCTCTCTGTGTGGTCTGACCTTCTTTCCAAGATCAATCCACTAGCTCCCCTCTTTGAATTCTGGTTAGCTGCATGAATATGTGATCCCTACCACAAGCTATTGTTGGATTATAAATCGGGCTGGGCACACACGTCAGTGTGTGTGGATGGGTGTTTATGTGGTGCCTCTCTTCCTATCCATTATAAAAGCTCGCTGAAGGTGGGGGCTGTTTTGATACCTTATTGTCACCGTTCTCAGCACTGCACTTGGAAGCATTCAATTGATAATTGCTGGAGGAAGACTCAACAGAATGTGAGCTGGTTGTAAATTGTTTTTTCATTAACATACTGCTTAGCTAACTTTTAAACTTAATAGTACCCATTTAATCTCTACTACAAATAGAATTAAGTCAGCTTTTACCAAATAGACAAAAACAAAAGCCAGAGCTTCCTTGACACCTCTCAGCCACTTTACTGCCTCCCACAGACTTGAAAGAGACTGCAACCTTAATTCATAACTAACCAGAGGCTGGATTACAGCTAAAAAAGGAATTATGTTCAAGGTTTTCTAGGCATACAAAATCAATTCTATTCAGGTCCGCTGTTCTTTATGCCTACTGTTTGCCAAGTTCTACTTGATAATACAAGAATCAATTTTGCACCCTAATTTTAGTAAGACGTTGAAGAATAATGACTTTCCTGCTTGCCAAATGCCACATGCCCCTGTGGTTGGTCTTTGTTTCATTCTACTCATTTCCACCAAGCATTTTGCTGTCTGATTCTGAATTAGATTCCTCTGGCTGGGCGGAGTCTGTTATTGTGGCCTGTGTTGTGTCATACATTGACAACTATATTTATGTAAGGGGGGGCTGAAACATGTTTTCACATACTAGTAATAAATCTAAGCAGACAGACAAGTCGCTGTGTCTCCAAGCCTTCCCACCCCCCTCTTCCCACCAAATGATGCCGTGTGCAGGCTCATTAATTCTGAGCAAGCCATTTGCCTTAACAGCTTGGACATCGTCATGAAGAAGCATTACCAACAAGTGTAAATATTAAAACTAATGCATTCAGATAGTTCCACCAATAAAATGGTCACAAATAGGAAAAAAAGCTTACACTTTCCAAAGTACCCATTACAGGTTAATAAATAATGCTGTTCATTCGCTTGCCAATTAAAACAAACCTGGGTTGTCCAATGCAGTTAGAAGCAAGGAACCCAATACTCCTAATTGTTTTTCCAGGAAGGCACCCAATGTCATCAGATGAAGTGTGATGTGCTGGGCTGCCCCTGTTCACTTCTTAACCTAACAGCCAAATAGTCTCCCCTCCAATCTCGTCCCCTGAATTTTCTTTCCTCTTTGACTCCTTGTTTTTGGCTGCAAGTATTTGCAAGGTGATGGAAAATAATCACCCACTTCTCCCTTCTCTTGGCAGTGGAACCTCACTTTCTTTTTTACATCAGAGACTGATGCTTCTCCTCATCTCCTCTTCAAGCTTTGTGGAGTCCTAGTTGATTCTTTTACTTTCCCTCAAGCATCTGCCTTCTCAGAAAAGCTGCTTATCAACACTTGGAAAGTGTGGTACTGCAGAGGAAATAGATCTGAAAAGTAAGCAAAAGTCGCCAGCAGGAAAGAGAGGGTTGAATAGATTGCAGTCATGTAGCTGTGCTTGGAGATGTTTCCTAGGCACTGTCTGAAAGGGTCCTTTGGAGCTTTGCCCTTGGGCAGAACCCTTTCTAAAAGCACTCCCGCTGAAGCCTGAGCAATCGTTCTACAAATTCCTAGTCCAGCCCTGAGCATGCTGCTGTTGCAGACAAGGAAAAGAAAGAGCATCAACTGCACATTTTGTTTTAGAGAAAAGCAACAAAATGATGCCCAGCACAGCTTTTATGGACAAATAGATGCAGTGATGTAATTGAGAAAAGTAAAGGACGATCCTCTGAGTTTGGATGATTTGAGGGCCTGGGATCAAAGCTCCAGCCAAACATCAAAGCCCACTTGAGTCTAACACCAGAAGAGCAGCAGTGAATTAAACTTTATATGTAAACTAATTGTAGTTTGACCCCCACAAGCAGACTACTAGAGTGTCCATAGTGGGGAAAGGAAGTAGACCCTGAAAGGAAAGATCAGAAAGAAAGCAAAGTGGATAGCACACCGCAGCCATTTTTGTGTGATATGGCCCTAGACACTTTAAAGATCATTCCAGGGCAAAGGGCCACAGGGAATGGCAGAGGAAGGGAACTTTCCACAATGCTGGTTTTGTTTGAAAGGTTGTGAAACAGCCTGTTTCCCCCTCTGGCTGCAAGACAGACACAGACACACTCCTGAAAGCAAAGATTATCTTCCAGATGATTCTGTGCACCTCGCTGCTTCCACAAACACAGGCCTCCTGGCACACAGCACTGTGAACTCCAAACACTCACTTTTCCACCTTTTTTCCTCTTTTTGGCAGCACTGGGGATCATATCCAGGGAAACTTTACCACCGAGCTACATTCCCCAGCCCTTTTAACTTTCTTTTTTTTGTTTTGATTCAAGCTTTTACTAATGCTGCCCAACTATGACTGAAACTTGCATCCTTCCTATCTCAGCCCCCTGCAGTGCTGGGATGACAGCTGTGTGCCCCTGTGTCCAGCTATTCCTTCCTGTCTTCATTATTGAGATCTCTGTCAACCTTGGAGTTCAGATCACTTAACTCATCATTTCTACTGACTGTCATTACAGGCAGAAGGTACAGGGCATCAATTATGCAAATACCCTAGAACTACACACCCTGGAGCTGAAGCTAGGAGACAAGTGACTCCTTCCTTCTCAGGCAAAACTTAAAAATATTTCAGAGAGAAGTGGTTTCCTGAGACACTTGTAATAGGTGAGCTTTGCCTTTACTTTGCCCTATGGAGACTGTTCCTCAATTATTTAAAATTATTGCTATCACAAGCTGGCAAACCACTGGATACCTGATCTGATAATCTATGGAATATTCCTTTATGAAAGTAAACACTAAGGACTTTTTAAAGTGACAAGATCTAAATGTAAAATGAATCTTTTTAACATGAGAAAAAGTGTAAAAAGTAGGCTTCTAGTAGGATGAAAGCCAATCTGTACCATCATCCTTACATTGCAACTCTTTGAATAGTCATTAACTTATTCAACAGATATTTACTGAGTACCTAATACCAAGACACAATAATGAAGAATCAAGTTTAGCCCCTACCTTGTTGTCTACGTGGTAAATTGGAACAAACTAAATAATTATATACATTTGTGGGCATGTATATTTCCAAATGTGAAGTAACTATCTCAATAAGCAAAATGATATTTTAAAAGCAGATATATCTTTCCAGGAAATGCAAATCAGAACCATAATGAAACATCTTCTCATCCCAGTTAGAAGAGCTATCAACAAAAATAACAGATGCTAGCAAGGATACAGAGAAAAAGAGAATCTGATACACTGTTAGTGGAGATATGAACTAGTAAAGGCATTACAAAAAACAGTGTGGAAGTCCCTCCAAAAAACTAAAAGAATTATTAGAGAATTCAGCAATTCCTCTCCCAAGTATTTATCCAGAGGGAAACAAACATATCAGAGAGACACCTGAGCTGTCATGTTTATTGCAGCACTAGACACAAAAGCCAAATATAGAGTCAACCAAGGTGCCCATAACAGATGAGTGGATAAAGGAAATACGAGACAGAATATTAGTCAGCCATAAAAAATAATGAAATTCTGTCATTTGTGGCAACATGGATGGAGCTAGAAGGGCTTATATGATGTGATACAAATTAGGAACAGAACATTTTTTCCAGGGGAGGAGAATCTGATGCTTTTTATTATTTTATTTTTTTCAACATGTATTTTCCCTAAAGCACAGTTGAAGTTTCTATAGAAAGATACACACTCTATGACAAGACAATTCAGTATTTTCAACTAAATGTCATCAACTGAAATGAGAGTGAGCTTTAAGTTGCCACCTTACTGGGCTTCTGTGGCCCTTTCCTTGGAATAATCCTACAAAGGAAGATGAGAATGTGTTAGTCACACCCACTGGTCCACAAGCAGCTCCCGTGAAGGCTGCTACCTCCTCAGCAGCAGACAGAGATGACCACCAAGGCCACCTCGGCTAGGAGCTCCGGGCTAGTCTGGGCCAGCAGAGGCTTCTGCTGAGGACTTTGCCCACCGGGCACTCTGCTCTCCGGAGATCCCGAGGTCAGGCACAAACCCATCAGAACACAAAGCGGCCTCACAGGAAACGCAGGGTGCGTCTGCCTCGAGATCCACATGTAGCAGAGGGCCTGGGGTCCCGGGGTCCCCACGGAACAACAGAAGACCCTTGTCACCCTGAGGCTGCGGCAGGGTCCTGGCCGGGCAGGGAACCCTTCCTCCCATTCCCGACCTCAAACAGAAGTCAGGCCAGGGAGGAACGCAGGCCGGAGGAGGTGCAGGCTGCAAGCGTGCCCAGGCCGGCTTCAGCTCCCCCTCCGTGAGCCAGCCCAGGCTTTGAAGTCTGGGAGGACAGTTCTGACAACAGATGGGACAGTGTGCTTCTATTTAGCTTGGTCCGGGTGGGCTAAATTCAAACAGTTAGGGAGCCTTGCTAGTGATAAAGAAACAGTCACTCTGCGAGTCTCCACTCTCCTCCCTCCCCAACCCTGCGGAGGAATTTGGTTGACCTATTCTTGACTTTAGTAGAAGCTCTTTTCATCAGAAATCAGATCTGATTTCGACACAGTGCTTCCTAATGTAGTCCAAAGATACAGGTTTTGGGATCAGGCTGATACGGGGAATGAAACTCTCGACCTACTGTGTCTGTGAGTTTGTGTTTTCTAAAATCAAAGAATGAATTCAGGAACAACGGAGATTAAGAATAGAATATATTGAGAGAAAGAAAGCTCCTGTCCAAGAAAGACAGAAGGGGTCCTGAGCAGGTTGTCAAGGACTGTCTTTTTTAGGAACTTTCATAGAGCAAAATCATGGGGTGAAATGTCTTTAAGGTGGGGAAAACTGGGAATTCACAAGGCAAATGGGCATAAGGTGGGACAGAACTATGGTTAACCAATAAGATTAATATAATAGTTCAGGTAAAGTTGATTAAATTGGGGACAAATGGGGAAGCAAGTCACGCAGAAAGCAGGCATGCTTAGAGGGCAATCTTCCCTAGGGGGTTGGAATGGTGACTCCTGACCTCCTCAGGGTGACAGGGAACTATTTGGAATATCAGTCCTTAGGGTATGGGTGCATTTGTTTGATCCTTTGTCTTGAGGCCTTGCCCATAGCAGGAGGTGTCTGTCTGCCCCACCATTGCAAGGTATCTGGGCTTCTGCACTGGCTCCTTTGAGGACCTTATTTCTAACTAACTCAGCTGCCTGCAGTAAGGCCAGTTTCAATCCCAGCTACATCACTCTCTACCATACCAAAATGCTTATCATACACTGGTTGGCCAATTTGACCTTTCTCAGCCTCATTTTTCTCATCTGCAAAATGAGCTTTATGCCTAATTATAGAGAGGCTGTGAAATAAAGTTTGATTACCCTCAACTTCTCAGCCTTTGTATTCATGTGGGGAAACACATAGTCATACACAAGATAAAATTCAAGTAAGGATATTTCCATGAATAAAAATTATCATTAGCCATCTTGTTTGCCTTCAAAGTTTTCATAAAGCACACACATCATGTTGTTTTAGTGCATTTTATTTCATTTCCAGCTAGTGCAGATCCACTTACTCAAGGACACAAAGATAAAACCCAAGGACCTTGCTCCTAGAACATTTATGGACCAGTGGAGCTTCGCAGTGTATTGGGAAGAATGTAGGCTTTGACTGAGGCTTGATTCCTTGACCAAGTCAATTAAACTCTCAAACCTCACCATGGTTGTAAATATCTTTCATCGAAAAAGCACAACATGGTCCCACAA